CACTTGGGCCTATTAGAATCATTTATTATAATCAAATATGAACAAAATGACAAAAATGACAGTTCAATTTGGCCCTGCTCGTTATCCAAAGAAGTAATGGTAAAGTGCAGTAGTACTGCGATTGCTCTATTGAGCATTATTGTGATGCAGTAAGACATTTACATGTATGCAGCCTACTAAGACTGCTTTGCTATGATAGGCGCTTATGATGTCCAAAACTGCTGTCTAGACAGGCAGAACACTGGGTTTTGAGAAATAGCAATAGACTGTATCTTACAGAATATAATTAAGGTAAATGAATGCATATGAAATCTTACCCAAAATATCCGTTGCAATGTCCTATTACAGCCATAAAATATGTCTTTAATCGGGAACGCATTAACGATAAAATACTAAATGAACGAGTACGCTCTGTACAGAAATATAGGTGAAATCGCTCTGTCTGTAGCTCCCTTGACTAAAGCGAAGAAGTATGACGTCAGAACGTGTAATCACGCGAGAAAAGCCGGCTCCTGCCTGAACGAGGGTTTCCAGTGTTGCCATTTCCGCATAATTTTATTATTTTTCTTTAAAAAAAAATCAAATAACATGAGCATAATATTTTATACTTACATAAATAAATCATAAATTATCATTGTTATTAATGCATTTTACCTTATTGTAAAATGTTACTGGATTACCATTGTAAACACACCACAATAAATCCAAGTAGCATACACTGAAACACAAAAGTGTGTGTATATGTATATATATATATATATAATATTTTCTATTTAGGCATTTTTATATGTAAAATAAAAATTAAATAATTACCTACAAATAATAAATACAGGATTATATGAAAAAAAATTATAACAAATTAGATTAGACTAAATTAATTAATATGTATTGCAGTTACTGTAATGTAGAGAGTTAAGTTAAAGGCATTCCTTTTTTCAGATGCTTTAAGGAATGGAATGAAAGTTGATAAAAGAAAATATTTACACATGCCACAACCTCGATTGTAAAACCTTCCATGTGCAGATTTGGCAGGTGGTTATTTTTCTAGCGGGATCTGGCAACAGTCTTTTTTCTTCCTCTCTTGTGGTTTAGTGATCATCAGAGTTATACTGCCATCAGCTGGGTTGATAATACAAGGATGGCCATACTGTTTATGTTTCATAAATATGTACACCAGAATTCATTACAGTCAGAATTGATTCTTTTTTATTTTCTTCTATTTCATAAATGTAGTACAGATGGCATTCCGATTTGTTTATTTATGCCTTTATGTTATGGTGCGTAACCAGCTGCATGTGTTTTATATGTAGATAGATAGATAGATAGATAGATAGATAGATAGATAGATAGATAGATAGATAGATAGATAGATAGATAGATGTAGCCTATTACTAAATCACATGGAGAATCTCAATTTTAAATATATCTGCAAATATCATCATATCATCAGCAGTTACACACAACTTCATCATGCAACATATATCAAAGGATTTATGAATAATCTGAAGGAGCCAGCCATACAGCATTTTCTGTGCATTGTCATTCAGCCAAACAACCTTTGCACCAGAAGAGTACGCTGTTTACCAAACTTTGGTTAACACTTCTTTTAGCCTATGTCCATTGATCCAGGCCTGTTCAGTGTCTGAACAACCACTAGATATCTAGAGAGGTCAGTGGATCAGAGTTGAAGCCCTCAGCCATGATGACCCTTCAGCAGTGCTGCTGGTTCAGGCCAACTCGTTTATCAGGTTACTTTGCTAATCCTGTTTGAGGCGGCTGTTGGGTGTAACAAGTGGATTGTGCCCGACACGTTTATAAGACATCGTGGTTAAGGGGAATTAGCAACAACCACACAATGTGGACTGGTGATGCCATTTAATTTCCCTTTTGATCTGAAACCAGGTATTACTAAGACTAATATCGTAAGTATTATTACCAGTAAGTATCTCAAGTAAACTATTATTATTATTTGCCTACGCACTATAGTGATAAAATAAGCAATTATTGCCTTTAATATTAACAAACTCTACTACTAACATTAAATGTGCGTTCAGTATTTTTTGTTTATGTTTTACGAGAATCAATATTGATAAGATTAATTTATTTACCGAGTGCAGATGTCCAGATAAGGTGAGACATATTCTGCTGGTAATGTAGCTCATGAGGTCTCCTCCATCCATGTAAAATAAATCTGCTTTATTGGACTATTTATATGTCCGGAGCCTTCATCTCTTTAGAGTGTACACGATTTTCAAAAAAGTACCGTTTTTTTGTGTGTAAAACATAGTTTTCCCTCCCATCTCATATTTTCTTCCATCACCATGTTCCTGTAGTGGCTTCAAAAATAACAAAGTGGCAAAAATAAATAAATAATAATAGTAATAAATATAAATAAATAAATTGTTAGTCTATAATAAATGTCAAATTTAACTTGGTCGCTATTTATTAGGGTGAACTCCAGATTAATTTCTGTCTCCGTCATTATATTTGCTATTGACCGCAACATATAATCATTGCTGTTAATAGTGTTCACTGTCATTATCTAACTGCTTGATTTTTACCCTACATTTTTTCGGCCATATGGACACTAACTTAGTCACCACTGATAAGCTTTCACTAAATATAATGCAGAAACTTACATTTTCTGTGAAGCTGCTTTGCAACTATTTGCATCGTGAAAAGCGCTATACAAATAAACATGAATTGAACTTGAATTGAATTACCTCTTACAATCATCTTTATTTTAGACAATGAATTCATTTTAAAATGCATGAAGACAACATAATGAATTTAAGAAGTGAGTTTTATTCTTCACAAACATACTGTTCAAGAATTCACACAGGATCTGTGCCAGTCCCAAACCAATGGGACATTGCATGAATTCAGTGAATGAAATATGTTTCAATTAAAATTCCAGCTGTCTCCAACCTAACCACAAACTCCACAGAAACTAAAATGAGTGAAAAACATCTGAACTCTGAAAAAATGTTGCTCAAGAGTTACAAACAAAAGAAAAAAAAGAAAGACAACTGGGAGCTGAATAATATTGGAATTGGAGAAAATTCTCTTTTGGCAGTCAGTATTTGGTACAGCTCTCCCTGCTTTTACTGTTTCAAACCACAAAATGTGTCATTTTCTGTTTCCCTCACAGTACTCTAGTGACATACACACTTAAAAATAAAGGTGCTTCACGATGCCATAGAAGAACCTTTTTGTCTAAATGGTTCCATAAAGAACCTTTAACATCTGAAGAACCTTGCTGTTTCACAAAAGCTTCTTTGTGGCGAAATAATGTTATTCAGATTACAAAAACGCAAGAAAGAGATGGTTATTTAAAGAACCTTTGACTGAATGGTTCTTTGTGGAACCAAAAATGGTTCTTCTATGGCATCGCTTGAAGAACCTTTTGAAGCAGCTTTATTTTTAAGAGTGTATGCAGGGATATTGGGCTGTGATTCATACCTCGCTTTCTAGCTTACTATATAAAATCAATTATATATCGCATAAAACTAGGAATTTCCAATTCCATCTGCTGAATCAACACTAGTGCTCTCTTCTTGTGAAACATTATTTCATTCTACATTTAGGCACTAATACATAATAGAATATCTACGTTAATGACAAAAAAAATTCCCCAAATAAATGCACAACAACAGGTCTATTTACAAAATATATATATAATATTAGATATGTGTGACCAAAACAGTGAGCACAGAACATTATCATTCCTCTCAAACACCTGTTATTTTCTAAATATTGATCTGGTGTAAGAGCGATGAATTGGATGTGAATTCGAAAAAAATTGTTCTGCATATCCAATTAACTGCTACAGCATTTAAATTATTGTCACTGTCTACAGAGGAAGGCACTTAAGAGGAATGATTTATGATTCTCTTCATAAGTTTTCTGAGAACATGGCAGAAAAAAAATGGTTTAACTCATAAAATATTATCAATAGCATTAAGTTGATTGATTGTACTCTTTAACGTCTTCAAAATGAGATTTGGACTAAATGTGAATAGTCCAAATGTATCCAGAATCATTTCTATGGAATAAAATGTGAGTTTACATGAGTCCAGAATAGTTTTTTTATGTATTTAATAAGGCAGATCCCCTCTCTACCATGACCAATTAGTTTTCCAAGGAAAGAGTGTCATATTTGCCTCATTCAACATTTGGTTAAACCAGAAACTTCTAATGCACAGTGTAGCTCACAGTGGATCTATATACAACCAGTACAGTTAGCCAACAAACAAACCCTGTTATGTTAAAAAAATAACATGGAGAGTGTTTCTCATTCAAATAAAAAAAGAAAAGATGTAGAGAGAGAGAGAGAGAAAAGAAAATTATAATAAAAAAATAAACAACCTAGGCAGTATATTCACTATATACAAGATAAACAGCTAGCATAGAAGGACACTTAAAATCAAGGATACGCAGCTCTGGTCTTTCAAAATATTCTCCAGCTTTTTTGCTGGCGTTTTTCTGAAGATACTCACTGTCTAAGACTATCTACAAACATGAACATGGAACGTCCTTTCACTATTAACATGAAATCCCAGCAGTATAGTAAGTACATAAGACCTTTGATTGAAGCCAGTGTTGCTGGATATACAATTGAAAGGATTTGAAATCTGAATGGAAAATAGAACATCCACACGTCAAGTGGTCTGGTACATTGTTTGTTTGTTGAATGAGTAAAACAGAGGATGTGAAGTTGGTGGAAATGGTTTCTTTCACAACCAAATTAGTCACAAAAAAAAAAAAGGTACTGGCTTCCAGGTTAGTATTTTACAAATATTTAAAAAAGTAAAACAATTTTTTTTCTGTAGGCATCTGAAAATATATTCCATCAAAAATAGTCTGACAAATTTACCTAGTACAAAATAAATGTTTTAAAAATGACAGAAGAGTTTGAGGAAAACGGTTTCTTGCTGTATATTGGGTTCTACTGAAATTTTACAAAAAAGGGGCTGTAAAAGTTAAAGAAACAGAGGATGTGAAGTTGGTGGAAATGGTTTCTTTCACAACCAAATTAGTCAAAAAAAAAAAAAGGTACTGGCTTCCAGGTTAGTATTTTACAAATATTTAAAAAAGTAAAACAATTTTTTTTCTGTAGGCATCTGAAAATATATTCCATCAAAAATAGTCTGACAAATTTACCTAGTACAAAATAAATGTTTTAAAAATGACAGAAGAGTTTGAGGAAAACGGTTTCTTGCTGTATATTGGGTTCTACTGAAATTTTACAAAAAAGGGGCTGTAAAAGTTAAAACAAGTAACATCTAGTGTCTTTAAACAGTGATCAGACATGATTATTTGTCACCTTTGGCAAATACAAATTGTGTTGTTGCAGCTGTGCCGTAAAGCGAGGCACGTGCAATGGCAGCTCCAACGTCGATGTCCTCATTTGGGGATTTGTGTCTCTGCGAGGTATAATAGCGCCAGTAACTTTCAACGTAATTCTGCATCTCTTCCATCACCCGTCTTCCTCCTCTCAGATGACAAATGAGGATTTGTGTCGGAAATCCCCCTGAAAGAGAGAAGATTGAGTAAAGGTGGTTTAACTGATTCCCTGTCTTAAACTGCTAGACTTTCCAGGAGATTTCTTAAGCTCTTGGAAGCCTTAATAAAAAAAAAATAACATCTCTTTATTTTCCTATACCTCATCCTCTGTTCTGACATAGTCCACTCCATCTCCTTTTGCTGGAGTTTTGTAACTGAGGAGAAAAAATATTAACTGTCAGTTTCACATTTGAAAAACATTTTAAGCCGACAGTCACCACTATATCATATATTTGTATTTATTAAAACCGGATTTATTTCAGATATCTGAACATACTACATGTGATGTTAAGACTGAGCTGGAAACTTTCAGGAGCTCCTTGGGTGATGAAATGGAAAAAAGCCATAAAACAGTGAGTCAAAACTGCTCTGGGACAGTGTGACGCAGGCCATGTCCAGACGTACACGGGTATTTTTATAAACTGAGTTTTTCCTTCCGTTTTAAAAAAAAATCTCCGTCCACATGAAAACGCAAATGCATGCTATGAAGCACTGTCAAGAGCATGCCAAACCAACAGGTGGCGATATAATCTCAACCGTAAAGCCATGTTGGCCAATCAGAAGCCTGAAAAAGTTTCCAGTAGGCGGAGATAACAGCGCAGGCTCCGACGTCACAAGACAAAAACTCTGGTTTCGCTGTCTACACGATAACACTGCAACCGGAGTTCTTCACCCTGGCAGGCGTTTTCAAAGATGTTCGGTTTCAGTGACCTGGTGCTGTGTTTGCGTGTGGACGAACGGCCAAACCGCGTAGAAAAAACTGCGGTTTTAAACATAACCGCGTTCGTGTGGACATGGCCTCAGATGGAAGTTGCTGTCAATGTCGTGTGCTTACTTGTTTCCCGTCTGCTTCTGGCTGGTGAAGTAGCCACGTTTATAGGCACAGAAGATGCCCACTGTTATACACAGAAGGACTGTCACCACAACCACTACACCCAGGATGATTCCAGCAATGTTCATGTCATCTACAAAAAAAGGCACAGCGTGAGATCATGGCTTTGCGGGGTGTCCACATGTGAAAAGGCAATCAAGATACGTACAAACTTCCATCATCTGTGGTCCACATTCGGAGAACCCAGCCTCATTCCTGGCTCTGCAGTAGTATTCTCCAGCGTCCTCCTTCCTTACCGCACTGAATTTCTGAAGATCATAATAACAGTGATTTAAGTTGACATATCATTTTGCATAAAGATTGGGCACAGTCATTTTTTTTTAAAATAAATTACTATTTTTATTTTGGCAAGGATGCATTAAATTAATAAAAAAAAAGTAAAACACATTTATAATGTTATAATAGCAATTTTAAATAATAGTTGTATTTGTATTTGTATCAAATAATAATTACATACCTATTCATCACGGTTTCTAGAAAAAAATATATAAGCAGTACAACAGATATTTATTGAGCAGCAAATCCGCATATTAGAATAATATCTGTAGGATCTGGAGTAACGGTTGTTTACATTTAAAAATATATTACAATTGAAAACAGTATTTTAAATTGTAATAACATTTTACTGTATTTTTGATCAAATAAATGCAGCCTTTGTATGCATAAGTGACTTCTTTAAAAAAAATCCTTAAAAATTACATTAAAATTCAACTGCAAACTTTTGAACTGTAGTGTATTTGTGTTTCTAAGCAGCAGTGGTAATCTGTCAACAACATACTGAATGGTTAACGATGTTTTTTGTTTCATCAGTGAAGATTAAACAAAAAAAGTGTATTTTAGAAATAATTTAATTATTTTAATTAAATTAAAATCATGTTATCTGTTGGCTAAAATATGACAAAAAATAAAAACACTGTAAGATATTAACAATAAACTAACAATGTTTTACATGGACTAAACATTTTAAATTAATACACTTAATAATTGAATATTTGGTTTACTTTTGAACTCTTACATCAACTAAAAATTTTTTTAGTCACATAAAATTAGATGCCAAAAGACCAAAAAAACAACAACTGAATCCTAGAAGCATCTTTCTGACTTTGGTGCGCATGTTATAAAAGTAACACAGGTGTTGAATGAGGCTCTGGCAGATCTTAAAGGACACACAGTAAACTCTTCAGAGGTTGTCTCCTTAGGGGGAAGTGGCTGTACTGCAGCGCTGTTCAAACTTTAAAAAGTGGTGTGAAGGTTGATGAGGGCATAGAGTACAAATGGCGGAGAATGGCACTCTGGAATGCGCAAATGAGGGCAGCAGATTCCCTTCATGGCTGAGCTCATCGCACATCAACTGGCTCCCCAAAAATATCCCTATGCCTACCCCATCGCCTCTTTTTTCAAACTCACCAGAGTGCCCATCTCTCCGTTCAGGGTGTAAGTGGAGTTGAAGAACTTTGGGCTGCCCTTGGGATCCTCCGGGATTTCCTCCTTGTTGCGGAACCACTGGTAATGGGACTTCGGGTAGCCCTCATCCTCCAAGCAATGCAGCTCTGCTGGTTTGCCAACCGGGACAGACTTGGGTATGGAGCATCTGGGCACGATGGGCTTCACTGTATGGCACACAAGAAAATCATCTTAATGTAACTGCACAGACAATAGCATCCTCACACACATGCACCTTAGTGACTCTTGACTGCAAGCATCCTGGCCAACTGAACATGCTGCTCTTTCCCCTTTTAGACCCCTGATTAAACTCAGATGCAGTTTCAGAGGTTTCCTCATATAGCCCTAAACACGCCCTGTAGAGTTAGAGCTGCAAGCATCCTCAAATGTGCACCAAGGGTGGGTGCGTTGGCTCGCCGCTCCATCTCATGTTACATCGAGGCAGTTGGGAAGTACTAACAATGCTACGTCTACAGCAAATTCAAATTCAAAATTCCTCTCAAAAGTATGTATACTAAAGACCTGTTTCAGCAAAAGGCAATCAATTGATGTAGAATTATTTGAGTGGAACCACTCACCTCTTACAGTGAGTGATATTAAAATCTCATCAAAGGATTTCTGGTCATTTGGGGCAGTGACTTCACAGCGGTAATCAGCAGTGTCAGCTCTTGTTGCGTTGAGAATGACCAAGGTCGCAGGTTCTCGAATTTTTGCTCTCTTTTCCAAGTCACCTGGAACAAAAATAAAACAAGTGAGAAGATACATAGTTGGCTGAAACAGGTGAAGCTGTTCCCACTGATACAAAGTGGTGTTCATTAAATATGGGACTTAAATTATGCTCCAAAATTCCTGTTAAACACTGATAGAATGTGAGAAAACACTTCAAAATAGATTTAAATTTATTAACACTGGCTAAATGAACTAAAAACTTTAACATTTTAAAATAAGTTTCAATTTAGATAACATTTATAGTAACAGTTAAACAGTTAATAGCTAACCTGAACTAACAATGAACAATACAACATTAATTAAATCTAGGTTAATGTTCATTTATAATAACAATTATATCATATTAATAATTTATAATGTAATAAATACTATATTATTCACTGTCATAATTTTTAACCCTAAGTGTTAATTTATTAGTATATATACAAATGAACATTAACTTAAAAATAATACACTGTAAAGGTATTGTTCATCATTATTTGTTCAAGTTAAAAATTGCATTAACTGTTAAACTGTTATGTTGACAAACTGAAATGTATTGTTTAGTTTCACCATATTTTTACGACATTAATCTGGGTTAATGTAAAAATATATAATTTTTTATTGTTCATTTATATTTATTTATAGTACTGTTAATTTATATTCCATTGAAATATTTAAAAATGTTCTGGCATACACTTCTGTTCAAAAGTTTAGAGTCAGTAAGACATTTTTTTGGAGAGAAATTAATACTTTTATTCAGCACTTCAGCATTAAATTGATCAAAAGTGACAGTAAAAACATTTTTAATGTTACAAAAAAATATTTCAAATAAATCATCTCCAGGTTACATATGTAACCATGGTTCCCCAAAGGGAACAAGACGCTGCGTCGGAGAACGCTTTGGGAATGCATTTCAGCGTGACCGGCTCTGAATCATATGTGTAATCAGTCCAATGGAAGGGCGAGACGTCATAGGCGGGCCTCGGCCCCTGCCTCGACAGGATGTCTGCTCCCATATTCAGAAGCCCAGGAATATGTACTGCTCTCAATGAAAGGATTTTTCCCTGGGACCACACAAGAATCTGGTGTGCCAGCTTCTATAAGGGGCACGAATGCAGACCTCCCTGGTGGTTGATATAAGAGACCACCGCTGTGTTGTCAGTGCGCACCAACACATGACGATCTCTCAGGTCCGGGAGGAAGTGCTTCAAAGCTTGAAACACAGCCAGCATCTCCAGACAGTTGATGTGCCACGTGAGATGGCGACCACTCCACAGACCACGAGCAGGGTGGCCACTCATGACCGCACCCCAATCGGTGAGGGACGCATCTGTCGCTAGCGTTACGCGGCGACAAGGAGCTCCCAACACCGGGCCCTGAGACAAGAACCAAGGTTTCCTCCACATGTCCAAGACAAGTAGGCATCGTCGCGTGACTTTGATCATGCAAAGTGGGTTTCCCTTCGGGGAGAACCCCTTGGTCTTGAGCCACCAATGTAGGGGTCTCATGTACAGCAGACCAAAAGGTATCACATTGGACGCAGCTGCCATCAGACCCAGCAGTTTCTGAAACTGCTTGACAGTGAGTGACTGGCCTTCTCTGACTCTCGCGACTGCAGTGAGGATCGACTCGATCAGAGCAGGGGACAATTGTGCCAAATCCCACACCATGCCCAGATAAGTGGTCCTCTGTAATGGAGAAAGCACACTTTTCTTGGCGTTTCCAAACTTTCCCATATGGGCGAGAGCGACATCTCGATGTCGAACCACCGTCTGATCTGATTGAGCTAGAATCAACCAATCGTCAATATAATTTAGTATGCGGATGCCCTGTAGTCGCAGTGGAGCTAGAGCAGCATCCACACACTTTGTGAAAGTGCGGGGTGAAAGTGCTAGGCCGAAAGGAAGAACTCGATATTGGTAAGCTTCGCCCCTGAAAGCAAACCTCAGGAACTTCCTGTGAGTGGGAAGGATGGAGACATGGAAGTAAGCATCTTTTAGATCTATCGTGATGATCTGAGACACGACCTGCTTGATAGTGAGCATCTTGAACTTCAGTCGCATGACTGAGCGGTTTAACTGACGCAGATCTAAAATGGGACGCAACCCTCCATCCTTCTGTGGAACGATGACGTACCGGCTGTAGAACCCGGACTCTCTGTCGTGAGGAGGGACCACCTCGATGGCCTCCTTCCTCAAGGGGGTGTTTACTTCCTGTTCCAATCAGAGCCTGCTCAGGGCCCACCAATGTGGGAAAGACCCCGTTGAATGGTGGCGGCGGAGTGATGAACTGAATGCAATAACCTTTTTCTACAGCCTGCAGGACCCAACAAGACACATTTGGCAGTAGTTTCCACGCTGCTAAATAGCCTACTAAGGGAACCAGTCTCTCGAGACTGGTCTCTGATGTACTTGGAGCTGCTAGCTCGGTGCCCTGAAGTGGAGGACTGGCAGGAGACAAACTAACTGCTCTAGAGACCCCCGAGGGGGTGGCGAGCATCTCAGCTCCGCTACGTTTCCGAGTTCCGACACTGAGATGTGTGCTTGCTGGAGACTGCTGCGCCCTGGAACTCTGGCAGGGTTAGCAGACTGATCTCCTGAGGGCTCTGAGGAGAGATGGACACCGTGTAATGCGTGTATCTCTTCCCCAGTAGGGGCCGCCCTCAGTGGTCCTGGGCCATGATAGTCAGGACAGCTTTGTCGAGAGCTTTCTCGACTGAAGCACGACCCTCAGATCGTGCCTCACCTTAGGCTTAGAGCGCCGCCGACCTCGGTCCCGTTGCGGGGGAGTACAAGAGGTGACACTCAACTTTTGAACCTCCCTGTATGAGGAGTTGGTACACGGCCGGGGCTGCTCTCGCCCAGCAGCCCCCAGAGCTAGAGAACGGCGAGGGAAAAACGCCGCCTGTTTACGAGCCTCCTGGTATCTGTCAACGATGGAGTTGACGGCATCGCCGAACAGACCAGAAGGCGCAAGCGCGGCGTCCATGAGGAATGTCTCTCCGCTGCCACCCAGAGCTGCCATGGACTGCCCAATGGCACGGGCGGTCTACTTGGTGGCGTGGAGAGATAAATCAGCGGTTCTCCTTAGTTCTGAAATATCATTTCACTTTAACTTCTTCACCTTCGTCTAGCTCTTTAAGCAAGTCGGCTTGGTATGCCTGCAACACAGCCATTGTGTGCAGACACACACCAGCCTGACCTGCTGCCGTGTACCCCTTGCCCACCAGCGCTGAAGTGGTTCGCAGAGGCTTGGAGGGCAAGACCGGAGCCTTTAGAGACAATGCCGCATTGGGAGATAGATAGCTCGCGAGCGTCTGTTCTACCCGGGGCATCGATCTATAACCGCGTTCACCCAATCCCACCACATTGCCATAATAATCAGAGGCAGGGATGAATAAGCAGGCCGAGAATGGTTTCGCCCACGACACCTCGGTGTGAAGGTCAGGGGGGAAAGGCAGGCTCCGGCATGGAGGTGGCGGCTTAGTTCACAGAAACCGCTCATCTAATTTACTTTTCTGCGGTTCAGCCTGTTTCTCGGTGGGCCAATCGATGTTTAACTTAGCTACCGCACGAGTAACCACCTCCAACAACTCCTCATACTGGGGTGACTGAGGGGGCGAATCCTCGATGCTCTCCACATCAACCTCCTCGAAGATAGGCGGAGCGCCGAGCCCGCTCCCCGGGGGGAAGAAACCGCAGAATGGGCTTCCGATCCCAGAGAGCGGGCAGACCTGGTGGGTGAGGAATAAGATAGGGACTCGCCCATCTCCATTCCCTCCACCAGATCCATCTGCGAACCCCACGAGTGCAACTGCCGCTCCACCTCGATGGAAGCGGGGCCAGCACCACGAGGAATGCTGGCAAAGGCTCCCTCCTCGAAGAGAGCCTTCCGGGAGCAAAGTGTACGCAGGGGAAGCCGCTCGCAATGCGGGCAGTCGGCTCCCTCGAGAGTCGACTCTACGTGCTTCGCTCCCAAGCAAACCACGCACAGACTGAGTGTATCCCTGCCCATGAAGTAGCGTGGGCAGGGAGGAACACACAATCTATAACGTGATCTGCTTTCGCCCAGACGCTATGTTTTACTCTCAGCCTTTTTTGACATATTTGGAGCTTAAATGTTGCTGATTGTGCTTACTTTGACAGACAACAGTAAATAAGACTCACAGAACATAAAATGCGACTGACACACACACACACAGAGCGCTTGCTGAATGACAGATAGCTGACACCGGTTCCACCTCACGTGCTTTTATAGCTTCCTGGTCACTACGTCACCCGTCTATGACGTCTCGCCCTTCCATTGGACTGATTACACATACAGGTGCATCTCAATAAATTAGAATGTAGTGGAAAAGTTACTGAAATAAATTAACTTTTCCACGACATTCTAATTTATTGAGATGCACCTGTATGATTCAGAGCCGGTCACGCGGAAAGGCGTTCCCAAAGCGTTCTCCGACGCAGCTCGAGTTCCTGAAGGGGAAGCTATTCTTTAGAACTTTCTATTCATCGATAAAAAAACCCTGAAAAAAATACCACTGTATCCACAAAAATATTAAGCAGCACAACTTTTTTCAATTTTGATAATATTAAGAAATGTTTCTTGAGCACCAAATCAGCATATTAGATTCCCTTCTGTAGGATCATGTTACACTGAAGACTGGAGTAATGATGCTGAAGATAAAAAGCAGTGATTTTAAATTGTAATAATATTTCACAACATTACAATTTTTACTGTACTTTCAATCAAATAAGTGCATCAGAGTTTAAAAAAAATCCCAAACTTTGAACAGTAGTGTATGCAGAAATTAACATTAACAAACATTATTAAATGATGTAGAAATGTACTGGTATTTCATGTAAAATATTGCATTAATAGAATGTTAGAAACCTTATTATAAAGTATTAGTCAATGTGTTGTACGGCACAGTGTTCAGTATGTGTTGAATGTAGTATAGCTTACCTGCTATTTCTTTATCGAAATATACATAACTGGGCTCTCCCATCTTAATTTTCTTCCATTCTATTCTGGGATTAGTAGTGGAGATTGACTCTATCATGCAGGACAGCTCGATCGCTGCATGGGGAGAGAAAACAAAAGAGCTTGTGAGCAGTTCCAGTGGCCAGTTTAATGTTCGAATCAGCAGCTAAAGACTGCTGGAGAACAAATTACTCAGCCTTACATTCAAACTCATTGACCCATGGTTTAGGATTCGTCGTCTTGAGGATGACTGCCAAGGTGCTGATGTAGCCTGCAACGAGAAGACAGACAAAAAAAAATCAGTTTTATGTTGAATTAACAACTTGAAATTTCAGGGGTGTCGTTACGGCCTAAACCACACGTGATATTGGTACCACTGTACTACTCTAAAGATTTCTGAAACTCAATTAACATTCGATCCCAGCGGCCAAACCCTCCACCCTGACAGCACACATTCTTCGCATCACTGTGAGCTGTGAACGGATATGTTACCAGCCATTTTTAGTTTCACTCTCACAACAAACATCACTGATGTAAAAGCGTCCCACCGCAAATAATTGTGTAGACTGACAAGCAGTCGCCGTTCTGTTATGAATAACAGCTGACTGCTTTAAAGTGAAGGCCAGAAGGCTCGCTAATTTCATGTAGTCGCTAATAAACATGCTAAATCAAAAAGGTCAACTGTGAAGTTCATACTAATTTTAGAAATTTGTGTCTCTTCATTTTTTGTCCAACATCATGAAAATGTTTAAAAGAATTCAGAACGTGACCTATACATCTCATCACTTTCTCTACCGCTTTAAAGGGTTAAAGGCTCATTCCCTATGAAAAGTTGGTTGGTTAACAGCATTTTAGCATTTAGGTCCATCACGGATAAGCAATTGAACACCTACTGTATGTCTGTGGTATTTTTGTGTCATAATCATCCATATAAATATCAAAAACATTTTTTATTTTCTGAAAGAGCATATATTCAGGGCACTGGAATTTTAATGGACATCTGATTGCTAGGGATAATTTTTATGAATCTTTGATGATTGTATTTTGGGCCAAGGCTCTTGAGAATTCATCCATCTAACACAGATCAAGGCTAGTAATACAAAAGACGTGGCTGCAAATTTGACAGGGAAACCACAACAGTGTGTTGCAGTAAAACGTGAGGACAGCATAAAGAAGACTGTTTTTTTCGAAAAAAGAAATACTAATTTTCTTTAACAACCTATTGTTGTTCCTGAATATTAATTATTTTTACAACACAATTGTGTTGTGAATATGAATTTTTATTTACATTTTCATATCAGCAACCAGAGAGCAAATATACTGATGTAATTTTCACAAATCAAAAGTATACATTAGAATAATGGCTCTAGACAATTATCTGAGTGAGTTTCAGGCTGTTTCATGAATCGTTTGAACTGAATCATTAAAAAGAATCAATTAAAACATTCATAAGAGTCATTTATTCTCAAATCAGGACATCACCACTCACACTGTACAGGAAACACTCACACACCCTAGTAAGATCCAGTGTTATTTTGAATAATAATATTATTTATATTGTTATTGTACTGATTCATATTTAGAATTTTTTAAAATATTTTATTGTCATATTTTTAATCATATTTGTAAGCACAGTAGTGACAGTCTGGGGCCCAGCATACACTTGAAGAGCTAAATAACAGATCAATTAAGCATGGTTGAATTAGTGTAAATAGTTTTTAATTCAAAAGCTTTAAGAAGAGGTGTAGATCAGTGCAATAGTGTAATGGGAAAGGATGCAGGATGTGCCAAAAAAAAAAAATACACTACCTCACACACAAACACATCCACATTTACATCTTCTTTTACAATCACATCCAGCCATATGGAGGAAACAAAGGCCACTGGCCACTCTGTGACTAGACTGCTAGGAAGTGGTGACGATGTCTCCCGTCTCCTTTTTCTGCCTGCCACATCCTGTTCTATCATATCATCAAATAGGAGGCTGGTGCTCAGCACTACCAAAACCATAGCTTGTGTCAGTAACGTTCGCCTCCGTACGCCTCACCCAGTGATGTAAGGTCTGTCCTGTCGGGTAAAGTCTCTGTGGTCTGATGCCATTTGAGGAATAATTGAGCCCTCAAACAAGGCAGGTTCTCTATGACCTATATATCCTGACCTCTCTCTTCCTGTTTGGAGAGCACAGCTGGATGAGATATGACAATCCTAGTCAAGCTTTAATCTTCCACTTCTTCCTTTAGAGGCAGAACTGTTGGTTCTCTTTAGTAATCTTAGTGTAATGCCCCGGTAAAATCCTAGGCATTACAGTACTGAATAATATAATATAGGGAGAGAGAGCTTCCTGACTTAGCTTAATTTCCATATCTACATAATGCATCTGCCTGCAGTTAAACTCAATTGATAGAATTTGTGGCACAATGTTTCTAACCACAACATTTTATTTCCACTTATCCTTCTTTTTTATTTTTTAAAAAAGTGTCTAGCTTACAGTGAGGTACTTATAATGGAAGAGAATAGGGCTGTAAACAATAAAATACTCACTGTTTCAATAGTATAGCCACAAGACGTAAACAATATGCATGTTAACATGATTTGTGACCCTGGATCTCAAAACCAGTCTTAAGTCGCTGGGGTATATTTGTAGCAATAGCCAAAAATACATTGTATGGGCAGGGACGCGGGAAGTAGGGGTGCTGAGGGGGCTGCAGCACCCCGTTTTCACATGGTTGCAAATGCAACGGCAAGTTTGTTCATTTAAATTTATTCAGTTTTAGCATTTAATAATTTATTTGTAATGATCTCTGAAATGTAAATTGTAAGTGGGCTATAACAAACCCATGTTTATCTTTATAAACATGATTCATTTTACTTGTGATGTTTTCTATATGGGATTATTAGCCTAATCCTCATGAACACGTGATGCTGGCGAGTGGTATCAGACATGAACTATACAGAATGCGAACAAGATTAACTTTAATACAAGGAGATAATGGTGCAAAAGCGAAAAGCGTCCCAGCAAAAACTTTCCAAAATAGGCATCCAACACCAGCCCCAGCACGAGCACTGACGTAAGTGAACCAGCTCCAGCACGAGCACGGAGACAAGTAAGTCTAGCCCAACCCCCAAGATTGATCAGCTACTATCGATAATTTCAAAAATGTGATATGCAGTTCATATCGATGCACTTGTAGTGCTTTGTGGAGTTGTCAAATGAGGTGATCCCCCCCCCTTCACCCAACACGGACACACACAGCACCCCCAACTGAAAACATCTTCCTGCTCCCCTGTGTATGGGTCAAGTCAAGTCAAGTCACCTTTATTTATATAGCGCTTTTAACAATACAGATTGTGTCAAAGCAACTGAACAGCATTAATTAGGAAAATAGTGTGTCAATAATGCAAAATGACAATAGTAAACACTCATTTTTCAGTTAAAGTTCATCATTGAATTCAGTAATGTCATCATCCAGCTCAGTTCAGTTTAAATAGTATCTTTGCAATCATTTGCAATCAAGTCAATGATATCGCTGGAAATGAAGTGTCCCCAACTAAGCAAGCCAGAGGCGACAGCGGCAAGGAACCAAAACTCCATCGGTGACAGAATGGAGAAAAAACCTTGGGAGAAACCAGGCTCAGTCGGGGGGCCAGTTCTCCTCTGACCAGACGAACCAGCAGTTCAATTCCAGGCTGCAGCAAAGTTACATTAAAATCAATGTCAAAATTATTGATTTTTCTTTTATGCCAAAAACCATTAGGATATTAAGTAAAGATCATGTTCCATGCAGATATTTTGCAAATTTCCTACTGTAAATATATCAAAACGTAATTTTTGATTAGTAATATGTATTGCTAAGAACATCATTTGGACAACTTTAAAGGCGATTTTCTCAATATTTAGATTTTTTTAAACCCTCAGATTCCAGATTTTCAAATAGTTGTATCTCGGCCAAATATTGTCGTATCCTAACAACCATACATCACTGGAAAGCTTATTTATTCAGCTTTCAGATGATGTATAAATCTTGGATTTTCTAAAATTTCGGAAAAATTGACCCTTATTTTTTGTGGTCCAGGGTCACATTTGATTGTGAAAAAAATGCTTACAAACCTAAAACTTTCTTAACATGACCATGTAACACCCTGATCTCAAAAATCCTGAAAAACACAAAAAAATCTGTAAAATTATGATTTAAACTGCTTTACAGCAGAAGTTTTAACAAAAAAAGTAGCATACTTATCCAACATACTTGGGCTTGGTTTTTGAAAGAAGTCTTATACTCACCAAAGCTGCATTTATGTGATCAAAATACAGAAAAAAAATATATAAATTAAACTTAAAAAAAAAAAACTTTACTTAATATTGTGAAATATTATTGCAATTTCAAATTAACCTTTTCTATTTGAATATTTTTTAAATGTAATTTATTTCTGTGAATGCAAAGCTAAATTTTCAGCAGCCATTACTGCAGTCTTCAGTGTCATGTTCCTTTCTTTGATGATGAACAAAAAGTTAAATAAAATAACAGCATTTACTTGAAACTGAAATCTTCCGTAACATTATAAATGTCTTTACAGTCACTTTTGATCAATTTAATGCATTCTTGATGAATAAAAGTATTAATTTCTTTCTGGAAAAAAAAAACCTTACTAAAAGATATCACCAAACTTTTGAACAATTGTGTAAGTGCTTTTTTTTTTTAAATGATAAGTTTCACATTTCTGCTCTTAAATTATCCCCCCCTTTTCTTTTTTTTAAAGAAAACATGGACAAGTACAAATTTATTTTTTGCAGTAATCAACACCATGCATGGAACCTGGAATACTTCTTTAAAACCACACGAATGGACCACCAAAAACTCAAAAATTGCACTATGGTGAGAAAGGTCAACGAAGGGGTCACCCTATTTATGGAGGCCATTTTCTAATCCTGGCATCAACACCTAACTCAGCATGACGGTCTATGAAGAAACATTACACCACAGAGAAATGAGTTACATGGCCAGAATCATGGGGATGTTTGGACAGCCTCCACATCGCAGCATTTAAACCCCACCACACCCTGCAACCGGCGTGCAGAAAAGCTGAAACACATTCTGCTCCGATGCAGCCTGTCAGAGAGCATTCAACACATGCAGTTTACTCAGCAGTGCATGAAGTGGATAATAGTCCTTGTTATTTTTATTCTGCAGCATTGATTCATTTTGCTGGGGGGAGGAGGTGAGGCTGGTCATTGGCTGAGAAAGAGATGCCCACAGAGCCATTCATTACACA